GTTAAAAGAATTCTCTGATACATCTTAACCAATACGTTATTCTTTGATCTTTCAAGTAAAACGTGAAGGAATGTAAGCCCTAAAGCACTATTATTATTATTATTATTATTATTATTAATATGATTATTAAATGAGATTGCCGCTCACCAACAAAGCGTCGCCGTGGCAAACATATACGAAACCGAATATACCTATCGTGACACCCATTCTGATAATATATACCGAGTACATGCATCACAGCCAAATATGCGCGCTATGGTGATTTTACTAGCCCTTAGGATTCCACGGAAGGTCCAAGAAGAAATACCTTAATCTCGGGTAACGCAGTCGACCCAGACGGTCTCCGATTGAAGATCTTCCTAAATATCTTGATGTTATTCCAAAATTGTCTTGAATAAAACAAAAGAAACCTTTTCAGTAGAAGTCCATGATCTTCCCCGATTGCGTTTCATTCATATACAGAGATACGCAATGCCATAGTTCTTAGAAATCATGCCTAGATGGTTAATATCAGGCAACTGGCAAGCAAATCCTTTGGTAATGAACGGGACGTTTACTGCTACTCTTAATTTAACAAAAAAAAAAGAAGAAAAATACAAGTTAACACCGCCAATCATTTAAGATCAGTAGATAGGTTCCCATCTCTTCCGGTTCAAATATCCCCCCCATGTCTTTTGGACAAGAGTAGGCGTTTGTCCCTTCTTTCTTATTTAGGATAGGATTTCCGGTTCCGTCTAAAGTCTACTTCAACTGTATACTCCTAACGTTTCCACCTAATATCTGCCCATATTTCTGAGATATGTATTTATATAAATACATTTCTCAGAAATATGGGCAGATATTAGGTGGAGACGTTAGGAGTATAAATTATTTATCACTTACATTATTCGGACTGTTGTCCTCATCTTTACTGCCATATCCACGAAGTTTCGGCCGTTTACGCTCCGGCCTTCTTCGGGTGATTGAAATTTCGAACCGAACCCTTTATTTCTTCCAAAGCGGTACATTTTTCTAGTTCCACGTGCCATGCCTTGTCTGGATGTTCCACTTATCAACAAAAGGAGAGACATGCCGCTCCCTTAAGGTAAGACTGCAAGAACATCGGAAAGCCGTAATACGAGTGGAAATAGAAAAATCAGGCTTAGATGACCATATATGGAGTGAAAAGGAAGATTATCATCTTCTGTGGGATGAGGCTGAGATAATAGACAATGGAAAATACGAAAATTGGAAAATACGAAAATTTAAGGAATCAGCACATATGCTTGGTGATAAAAATCTCCTAATTCGGTTAAGCATAGAAATGAATACAATATGGGAATCAGTAATACAGAGTGCCAGAGAAAGGCAATAATTAAAAAAAAATGCAATATGAGCTCTGGTAAAAAAAATAGTTACTGAGACATTAAGTTTTAAAATATCCAAAATTCGTTCGCTGAAGTCCTGACAGACACATGAACCAGTGGATAAAAGTGGATAAAAGTGTTGATTGGATCCAGTGACTTGACTGCAAGAGTGGTGAGTTCAATACGTAGCTACTGCAGGGGTGAACAAAAAAGTATAGAGTTAGAATAACTGAGACATCCGGGAGAGGTATGAACTGTGGAACTAAAACAATCTACCACGTTGGAGTTAAGTTTGAGATTCCAATCACTTGAAGAATGCCGGGATGTACAACGACCGAATTGTCGTGAAATTGGCAATAAAGATGAGGACAAGTGTAAGAATAATATAAATAGTCTCTACCTAAACTCTGAAATTTAATTTTGTTTTATATCAATAAAAGTAGATGGGTTTATCTATTGTCTGGTTCGCTCTCTTTTCCGGACATTTGAAAAGGAGTTTCCTGTTCACGATTAGGTTACCCGGATCCTTCTAAAGTCTACTCTATACTTCTAACGTCTCCATCTGAACTCTGAAATTTTATTTACTATTTATGTTTTTCAGGCTTGACTATTGCCTGGTTCACACTCCACTTAGGTCTTTTGAACATGATTTGTGGTTTATCCATTGTTTACTGTTCAGAAGTGAATTTCCTGTTCTTTTTAACATTTTTCTCGTTCTCTTTTACTTCCCTTGAATTTTAATGGCATTATGCCTTGCTTTGGGTGAAATGATAAAATAAAAGGCATGTTGTAGCTTGAAGGCATTTATTATCAATCGATTACTATTATTATTATTATTAGTAGTAGTAGTAGTAGTAGTAGTTGTAGTTGTTGTTGTAGTAATTGTAGTAACAGCCTTGGAATGTAAACAAGGCAACCTGAGTTCAAATATCGGTTTTGTCTGTTGCACAAGTGTCCTTCAGAGAAGCATAAAACTAACACTTTTTTAAGCGTTTCACCCCTAAGCAAGGCGGCAAGCCACTAGCACGCAAGGGATTACAGTTTCTGCCAATCTTGATTTTGAGGTTTCAACCCTGATTCCAGATTATGAATTAATAATGTTTGATTTGATAAAGTAGTTGGATTTTCCGAAACCTTATGAGAAAGCATTTATGAACATTATGAAAATGTTTGTAATTATGAAACATTATGAAGAGAAAGCATTTATGAACATGCGTTGGAGCTAGAGCAAATAGGGTGATAGTGGAAAGGATGAAGAGAACGATAGGTGATCGATCAAGGCATCTGGAGACGTCGATTGACATTACATTTGAATAGTTGGAGATTATAGCTATTAGGGTAACAGGAAAGGGGGAGGGAGTTCCACAGGCGAGAAGTACGAGGCATAAAGCTTTTGGAGCAGAAGAGACGGCTACATTTAACAGTTTCGACAGTGAAAGGGTGTGAGCAAGATGCCATCCTAATAGAACGCTTAAATTCATGAAGTCTGGGAAAGAGCGAAAGCAACTCATCGGAGCAGTTACCATGAAAGTATTTGTAAAACAGACAGAGGAAAGCGACGGCACGTCTGTGAGAGAGCGGATGCCATATCAGGGACAATTACATTGCATATGCGTCTCTGGATCTTATCAAGAACCTTGAGACAAACATAAAGAGCACCAGACCATATATGGCAGCAATACTTCCATTCCCCAAATAGCAAGGTAGACTGAAACCTCTAGCTTTGATTGGCAGTCAGTGTAGGCGAAAGACTACTCTGTAATGGAAACCATCAAGAAATAATGGGAAATCATTCCACTATCTTTCCTAAGAATTTATCACAATTCATTGATAATACAGTAAAGGAAGCCGTGGAAAGCCTAGATGAAATATGTGCTGAATGGACATGGTATTTAAATTAGTAAAGTAATTGTCATAGTTGTTTTTATACTAGTAAAATTTAAAAAAAGAATAAAATAATTCTTTTGGGACAATTAACAGCAAGTATTTTCATTATTCCAATTGAGTTTCAGTTTGTAATATTTACGATTTTATTAATACTCTTATCTCAGCATGATAGTCCTAATTTCTGTGACATAACGCATCACACTCTTACGTTAATAGTTTGTAATAGGCAATGAAATTTAATCAGGTCTATGAGGCCTTCTTAAATTTTATCGCTGTCAACGTAGATATAAAAAGTTCTAGAAAGGAGGAATTAATTTCTTTTAAAAATGGTATACATTTCAAAAGTATTAAATAATCAACAGAAACGGTCGTTCCAAACATTAACTTAACATATATATGGCAATGTTCATTGTCATCATTTATTTCTTTTTTGTGTCGTGTCCCTTCCGGCAATCATGGCTCTCCACAACTTTCAATCCATCTTCAACCATCCTTTTACATAACATGTGTTCGGTTACATATTATATGCCTCATTTTTGCTTTAATATATCCTGTGTATTGGCGACCACAATCTTGACAAAATAAAATATGCTGACGTCATAGTGTTGATAGCAGAGACATAATGGAAGCTACAAGAAATCCTAAAGTAGATTGTGAACGAAAGCTAGTAGAAAAATTTAAGAAGATAGAATGCATGGTTATTAACAAAAGGGACACCCCAACATGCAAGTTACAGATTTGAGATACCGAAATCAAATCAGTGTAACAATTTTGATATCTGGGATACTTATTAACAGAGAATGGAAAGTGTAACACCGAAATACGAAGATGCATTGGGATAGCGAAAGATGACTTCAAAAAACTAAGTAAAAGGAAAATACAGTAAACAGGAATAAATATCGTTAGAAACAAAGAAAAGATTACTGAACGGTTACGTTATATCAGTTATCCTAAATGGCAGTGAATTCTAGACAGTCTCCTCACAGAGGAAGAAGAGACTTGAAAGAACAGAAACAAAAAATATAGTACTGAAATTTTACGTAATATCAGTCCTCCTATATTGCAGTGAATGCTGGACAATTTCCTCACAGATGAAGAAGTGACTTGAAGCAACAGAAACAAAGAAAAGAGTACTGTACTGTTCCGTAACATCAATCCACCTACATGACAGTGAAAGTTGAACAATCTCCTCACAGAGGAAGAAGAATCTTAAAGTAACAGAAAGAAAAAAATATATTACTGAACTGTTACGTAATATCAATTCTCCTATATGGCAGTGAAGGCGAGATAATCACATCAGAGATGAAGAAACTTGAAGCAAGAGAAACAAAGAAAAAAGTATTGAACTGTTACGTAATATAAGTCGTCCTATATGGCAGTGAATGCTGGACAATATCCTCACAGATGAAGAAGTGACTTGAAGCAAGAGAAAAAAAAGAAAAGAGTACTGTACTGTTACGTAATATCAGTCCTCCTATACGGCAGTAAATGCCGGATAATCTCCTCACAGATGAAGAAGAAACTTGAAGCAACAGAAACAAAAAAATAGTACTTTACTGTTACGTAATATCAATTCTTATGTATGGCAGTGAATGATTCACAGAAGAGACATAGCAACAGAAACAAAAATTAGTACGGAAATGTTATGTAATATCAGTCTACCTATATGGCGGTGAATGCTAGACATGCTCCTCTGAGATGAAGAAGAGACTTGACGCAACAGACGCAATAAAAAATAATAATAATACTGAACTGTTATGTAATATC